AATTTGGAGTAGCAGAGATGGGAAGATTTTGATTTCTTTATTTCATTTCCCAATTTCATATATCATTATTTGGTTAAACTGTCTGTTTAATCTACTAATTATACCAGAATATTGAAACCAGCTGGGAAATTCAAGCAGGAAGCTCACTTTTGTTTTATCTTTACTAAGTTCCACTTAGAGTAGGCCTGTTTGAATCTATGGAACTCATGGAAGAGTTGACTCACCAAATTTCCATTGATTCAATGGGCTTCCTTTAGTCCAATGGACTACACAAAACGACAGGATTTCAGACATTGCCTAAAACAACACAGGCCATAAATTACTGCATGAAGATATACCATACACCCAAGGGCCAATTAATATTTAGAATGTTTTACTTGTTAAACTGATATTTCATTCGACATTTCATTCTGTTTCTATGTCTGCCGAAGAGGACGTATCCACAAATGCTTACATTAAAATATAATAGTTAGTCCTTAAGGTGCCACATGTTTTTGTATGTTTTGTTTTGTTTCTTTGGATTTTGCATGATACAATATCCAGCCATGTTAGTCAGTCACAAGAAAAGAACAATAGAGGCTACATCTAAGGCAATGGCTGCAATCCTGTCGTTTTGTTTCTATGCATAAATTACTTATGTTGTAAACTGTTTTCCAGGAGACATAAAACAGACATCTGCCCTGAGCAAAGATGAGAGGGGAGAGAGGAAGCGTGTGGGGGAGGGGGTTTGGAAGACAGTAGATGAAGTTAAAAAAATATATATAAAAGTAAATATAGGTTAACTATAGATACAATATACCACACATTTATGAGATACAAAAGAATGTTGGAAATTAACTTCAGAAGGTTACTTCCTAACTGTTGTAATGCCTGCTCGTAAGGTATATCTGCTCTTACTACCACAAACTGCAGTGCCTCGTGTGCTGTGACATCCTTAGCATGTCTCACTCACTCTGCCATCTCTGTTTGGACCAGTGGGCCATCCCACTGTGAAGCCATTACTCCCTTGTACATCGCTTATCCAGTTCCTCCCTGTGGAGATATTAAGCTAATCCCTGTGGAGCTATCAGCTGGCATCCCCTTTGGTGCTCGTACTTCCCCTAAGCATAGCCATAACAGCAATCAACTCTGTAGGAATCCTGCATTTAAATTTCTGAAACCACTTTACACATCAGGACCAGCAGAGAGCTAAAAAGTAGAATGAAGCCAGATGTTACTAGCCGTTGAACATAGCACAAGGCAATGATCCGAGTTTTTTACCACACAGTTCCCCATAGGTGAGCCATTCGCATAAGACTTTTGCACGTACTGTACAACCTGTCAGGAGAATTCTCATTGGGGTCATCTTGCAAATGGGAAAGCATGTAATGGGAAAGAGTATCTGGACTGTTCGGAAACAGTGTGATCCTATGCATGTTTACTTAAAATTAAGTCCCACTAGGTTCAATAAGGCATCCACTCAAAAAGAATTACAACCTAACAGTATGATCCTGTACAAAACCCTCTGTTAGTAATTGGCAGAAGTATTGATCTAGTCCTTGTGGTGGTGAGTCTCTGATGCTGAACAGCTTTGCTGATGTGATTACATTAAATGTTCGGTTACCAGGGCAACAGACAGTGTTTGCAGCCCATTTCTGTTGGGGAGGAGAAGGTTATCAGATCGGCTGGGAATAAAAGCACAGGCAGAGGCACATTGAGGACCAGGAGTAGTGGTCTCAGGGAAAGGCGACCGGAGGAACAGAAAACTGCACAACAAAATACATGATGGATGAATGTCCATAAAGAATGGACTTAGAAAGAGGGAGGTGGAAAAAAAATTAGGTGGCATGAAAAAATGAAGGAAAGGAGAGAGGAAAAGCACACACAAAAAGGGCTAATTACATGAGGCACTATGAAGAACCTACAAAATGCTTATGGTCAAGGAAGAGGCTGTACACTACTGAGGACGAGGGGAAAAGTTTGGAATTGTTCAAGAGACAAGATGCCTAAAACAAGTAGCCGTTTGTCTAGATGACAGAAGAGGATTTTTGCTAATTGCTTCAACTGCCACTGCTGCATTGTGACTTGTCAGCCCTAAAAGAGAATTAAGAGCTGAAAAGTGGAAGAAGGGCATATACAGATTTGAATTAATTCTTAGACTGCATACTGTACTTTGAGTTTACTTGATATTTTCCACACAGTATTCAATGACACGGCGTAATCTTTTATGGAATGTAAGACCACTCACTTTTTAGTATCAAATTCTAGCTTAAAAGTCATGTGTCTCCCTGTATAGCAGATAATTGATCTAGAGTGGTGGGATAAGGGGATGATAAAGCCAGGAGCCTGATGGTATATATACCTTTGGTGAGAGAATGATGGATCTTGCTAGAAGTAACACTTTGAAATAGACTTCATGGGAGCAGAGCAGAAGTTATGGGTATCAGTTGAGATTAAAAAGAGAGCTTTTCATACCTGCCATTGAACAGCCCTTTTGAATTCTGGGCCCTGTACAAAAAAAAAAGGCAGTGGGGGAGAGATAAGATGAAAAATATGTCATGAGGTGCATTTGTTGAGAATCTTGAATAGTCTTCCTTGAAGCAATAAGAGTCTGGGGGGTTTCACTACAGGATGTAAAGGCACTCAGCAAACTTTAACTTTTGTGCATTTCGTTTGAAAAAGAACTAAGTCTCTACCAAAAGGCCTATGATCAAATTTTTCAGGCAGACACTTGACCACATCCTAGGAGGTAAATTATACCCAGTACTTTAAGAA